TTGTTAATAATTATAAATAAAATAAAATATAATATAAATAGTTTTAATTTATAAAACTTATAATTTTTTTATTATTTAAATAGGATTTAAATCTGAAGTTAAATTATAAAATAAATAAATTTTATTTATACAAAAAAAATAAATACAAATTATAAATAAATTAATAATAAATTATAAATAAAATATATATGAGTTGAATAGAATTAATTAACTTAATTTATATCTTCAGAAAGTAACTAATTATAATCTAATAAATTATAAATATAATAAATAATAATATAAATGATAATAAAAAAAATAAATAAAATTATAAGAAATTATTAAAAAAAATATAATTAAAAATATTAATTATTTAAATTAATAATATAAATATATATAATAATTATTTACATGATAATGTGATAAATTTAATATATAAATATATAAATGATTATCTATATATCCAGTATAAAAATGATCTTTAAATAAAAGTAATACAAAAGCTAATCTATTATATAGATAGTACAAAATAAAGATCTAAACTAGAAGGAGATAATTCAATCAAAATTCATTATAATATAGTTATATAATTTTTAAAAGATAAATTAATTAAATTATAAGATTAATATATAATAAAAATTTAAGTAAATATAAAAATAAAAAATGGTTTGTATCTTAAAATTTTAATTAAGATATTTTTAATATTTTAATTACTATAATAATTCTAAATTTTTTAATATAATTTAATTAATTTAATATTTTTGTTATTATAGTTTAAAAAATAACTATTAATAGACTTTATTTAATTATTATTATAATATTAAGAATTATAATTTGTTATAAAATAATTATGAAATGAATATTTTTTTGAATTAATTTTTAATAAATTTTATTAAATAACTACTAAATAAGTTAAAATGAAAAAATATTGCAAATTTTCAATTTATTATACTTAATTCAAATTTATTAATTCAATATTATATTTTATTATATTATATCATATTACTCTATATTCATTTTAATAATAATATCTTGAGAAAATATTTTGTAAAAAATTAAAAATACATAACTAATACACAGTTATTCTAATATGTATTATTTTAATATTATATTGACCAGATTAGATATATAAATATGTTCATATTTTTAATATAGCTAATAGAAAGAAAAGTCATTTTCATGATATGAATAAAATAAAACTTAAGAATTTAATTCATTTTTTAACAAGATTTAAATATTCTGCATAACTGCTGTCTATCTATGATTCAAATATCATTACAATTTATAAACTGATCCAACAAGCTTTTGTTAGCAGAAAAATAATAAGGGCAATAGTTGTAAGATTTAATGTGAGGTAAGAATTTCCAAGGATTATTTCTATTGTGTTTACTGAGATATAGGTCAATTGGAAGTCCAATAAAAGAGTAAGAATTTAAAATTGTCAATATCAGAATAAATATTTTTAATTTCAACATTTTGGGCTAATACTCTCATAATCATATTTTGGATGACAATATTTTGTATATTAATCAAACTTTTCTTTTGTTTCAGTTCAATTTCAAATTGTTATGTAGTTGCTTTCACATTTTTAACTTCAAAAATAGTAATAAAGACTTTATCAGTAATACGAGCATTTCTTTTGATATTATTTCTTTTGGAGATATTTTTGCATTTTGAAGTTCGTGTACATGTATGTATATGTATATTAATCAGGAGGTGTGCTGCACGGGTCTGGTACCAAATCCCGAACGTTCATAAGCCCAATCCCGAATGAATGACATTCCGAATGAACGCAATCCCGAAAGATTCGAATCCCGAAAGTATAGTACATGTATCCCAAAATGCATGAAATACTAAAATTATCATGGGATGTCGTTCTTTCGGGATTTCGATCTTTCCAGGCTTATGAGCGTTCGGGATTTCGACCGGTGCTGCACATTATGCATGAGTTGCGGAATTCATTAAATTCACGAGATACGTTCAAGATCAGGAAGAGTAGGAGAAAAACCATAATGCTAAATTCAGTCAACAGACAGAATACAAAAGAAGAATATGAAAGAAGAAAACAATAAATGATTAAAGATAAGTCACCCAAGAAGAGATATAAAGAAAGAAACAAAAATTAGTTGAGAGAAAAATTCTTAATTTGCGAATGTCAAAATTTAACATTGTATATTATATATTTTTCTGGATCGCCATTACTGTCGAGTACTCATTTGTAGTTAGGGTTGGTTTTTCCAAAGTAAGCGCCACTGTACTTTAGAACAATCCGTCTCCATTTTTCAGAAACTTAACTATTAAAAACAAAAAAGTATCGTATTTACACTTTAAAAATTGTACAATTACTACCTCTTTTTATAATTTGTTTGGAATCACGTAATTTCAACACAACTTCGCGTTTATCGTCAACATTTTCTTCTGATTTCACTTGTAATGGTATAATTGACGCTTTATAAATGCGGTAAATTTTCAAACGGATCCATTTCAAATTCATTGCAACGATCGTTTTCTTGATAAATAGTGGCATACTATAATCGTGAACTTGTAAGTTTTCTCTTTTAAGTAACTCGCATTTTCTCCTTATTTTCCTCTAAATGTGTTTTGAATAGAAATGAATTTGGAATACAAACTAACACTTTGTAGAAACCAAACATGTATATTTATATGATATATTGAAATCTAATCTGAAATGTCATTTAAATTGAATATAAATGGATCAGAAGATTCGACTAGTGTAAATTGCATTTAAGTGAATTTGGTTTTTTCGTTATCCTTGTTAAGTTCTTTCATTCTCACTAAAGTGATTTAACACCTTACCAAGTTTCTTTTGTAACATCATCTCCTCTTTTAATTTCTCATATTCAAATTCAATACACTCTTTAATTTCTTGGATATCCTAAAGAGCTGAATACTAAAAATGTAAATTATTATTTTCTTGGAATAGGATTACTCATAGATAAATTTGATAAATTCATCGAGTTCCTCAATAATTTGTCTGTTTTCTGTAATAGGACAACTGTAACGAGATTTCTATCATGACTTCCGTTCAGCAAATGGTCGTTCACCAGTTACAATCTCGTACGCATAGATTAGTCTCTTCAAATTGTTGATTTTGGCCTTGTCATTCGTATACGAGTCCAATAGTGCTAGATATTTATAGATTTGGGTGGCTTAGTAATATCTTTTCAGATGAAAGTCACGATGTACAAACTTTTGTAGTTGGCATTAATATTAATATACATGTATATTTCGGTTTAGTTGTTCCATGATATTTAAAATCGAAATCACCACTATAAAGTAGCATTCTATTTTTGAAAAATTTGATTGTATCAGAAAACAAAAAAATAACTTTAAGATGTTGTTCATTTTTACCTCGTTTATAAAATCTGGAGTAATTTGCTTTGAATTATGCATGATTTCAACACAACTTCAATTTTCCCTCTTTATTTAAATGTATTTTTTTTAATGGTCCCGGAATACTTCCATCAAACCAGGTTGTTTTATGAATTCCCAAAATCTCCTCTTGCAAATATTCAACTTTGGTAAACTTTTCAAAAGGAATCCATTCGAAAAATTGATCATTAATCCTTTTATCAGATTGTTGATATCTTTATCTAGACCATTCTAATTTATGATAACTAAATGATGACAATACACCATTTATTTAGGTATTAAATTTGTTTCTTGTTTGGAGGTGGGGTATTGCCTCCGAGGTATATACACTACACTTCGGGTAAGGTTCTTATATATATACTCGACATCTCACAATTTAAATAAAAGGAACGACCCTGGGCTGCGCACAAACATGCGAACCATACAAATCCTTTGTTGTAATTATTCACATATTGACGTTACTTAATGCTTGATAATATTTAATAGTAAAACTAATTTGTTCTATAAAATCGCATGGATTATTAATAGCGCATTAATAGCGTGAGGATAAAGTATTAGGCCTAAGGTTAATATATTGCATGATAGTAAAAGCTACTTTACATATCTTGCGATTTGATCTTAAAAACACACCTTCCATTTTATCTTCTGCGATATTTTATGAGCATGTCAGTATCAAGCAACGCCACATTATACTTGTGATACAACAAAACTTTCAGCGCTTTCAAGATAATTATTGCTACTGATCGTCCGGGGGCATAATCGTGATCCCATACCAAAAGGATATAAATATTTGGGTTTTTAATTTCCCTGTTCAAGGATCACTCTTCTAAATTCGTTGGGAGCTGCCAGACGTCTGGATTGAAATGGATTGGTTGAATATTGACACAAAGTTTGGTGCCTAGCTTCCATTTGTAACCGCCGATTGCTTCTTGGATATTTGCTAAATGAGATCTTATGCGAAGAACTATTTGAATTAAACGAATATTTGTGAATTTAGTTTGCAAATAAAAATAATATGTAGTGATTTTTTTAACCTCCAGATTACCGCTTCGATATATTTAAATTGTGCAAGTTCTTCAATATTATTATATCAGTTTTTGATCTCGAATTTCTTTTTTCAACTTGCTCTTTTAACTCTGAGAACATATTCTATAATGTAACCGAAAATACCGACTGTCTGGGATTCCATCAGAATAATCTGTCAATTAGACGAAACATTAATTAAATGCCATAACATTACCGTAGATGCGGAAATCTTCATAATCTCTTGTAATGAGTCCCGAATATCTTCTTGCCCATGCGATAATTGTCGTCACCATTGTCTTTTTTATTCAATACAGATTCTTCTTTCAAGTCAAGTAGTAGATTCAATGCATCCGGCTTTAATTTAGAGTCGTGACCATTATGTGTTCGCTGTTGACGAATAAATTTTTCATAAGATCTTAACATTGGGTACGGTAAGCGAAAAGATATCGCCATACCAATTCGGGAGACGTAAAAAGAGTATATGAACGCTTCCTTTATTTGAACATCACGAAAATTCAATTCTTCTGTTGGTATTTCCTTTTTTCCTGGGAATTGAAATACGCCAGCATAAAATAGCAGCGCATTCCAACATTCAAATTATACATTAAATCTGTTGAAAACTTATTTGCATATGTGGATAAAAGTAAAGCGTTATTGTATCCAAAGTAGTTTCCAGTGTTCTTCCATCTCTGCGAAATAAATTCGCAGTTTTTTTAAAATCTCGCGCAAAAAATTGGGTGACATTAATAGATTATGACCATTTTCTCTTTGTGAGTTGGTATAATGATCTAATCCTTTATTCGTAAAAGAGATTGCTCTTTGTTAATTCCATTGTAAGTTTTCAATTACATGTACTGTAGTTCCGATTTGCTTAAAAATGTTTTACGTGTTGGGTCGAACCAACTTCAAATATGTCACCATATTCCTATGGTGATGTTCCATTTCACCTTGCTTTTGGCATAGACCTCCGATGAGAGGTAAAAACAGAATACATGTAAAAAGAGTGAGCATTACGAGAATTTTCAATAAATCTCGAGGCTTCAAATCTTGTTAATTTTTGAATAGCAATATACAGTAGGTACAAACATAGTTAATTGACCTTTACGATTTTTTAGTAATACATGTAAATGGTTTTCTAACGCCCAACGCCATGATAATGAAATAAGAAAATAAAGTGAGAGGTAGCTACTTATACATACGATCGAAAACACCATTAACTATTCAATCCTAGGCTTCAAATAAACCTTCGTATCAGCACAATGGGAAATAAAATCATGGTAAGTTTGTATCGGTTTATCCGCATTAACCAGTTTAACCTCGTAATTACGATACAAAAGAATCAATAGCATCTTTACAAAAGCGAGTCCGATATTTCTCGCAGGGCAAATGTGTAGTCCACCACCCCATGGATAAAACGCTTTTTTGAAGATATTTTTTCCGTCACTACCAACATTGATAAATCTTTCTGGTATAAATTTTTCGGGGTCGGTAAAGTATTTTTCGTTTCGATGAGGTGCTTGGTAATTCACCACGAATTGTGTGTCGGGTTTCCACCGATATCCGGCTATTTCATCTTCGCGTTGATTTGTACGGAACATAAATGGCACCGCTGTGTTGATACGAGTCGCTGATAAAATTTTGTTAGTTTAAAGTGTTATAAATATTCGAGAGAATATTGAAGTGTCTTACTTTCATAATATACAGCCTCGATATATTTGAATTCGTTCAAATCATCGTAAGTGACAACACGATTCAAATTATCCGAAAAAAACGAATTAATCTCAGCTTTAATTTTTGCTTCCACTTCTGGATATCTACCGACATATTCAACAATAAATACGAAGGCAGACACAGTCTGGTTTTATTAAAAGAATAATTAGTTAGAAATTCTGCAACAGATAAAAAATGACCATAAAAAATACACACAGTGTCAGTTGATGCAGCAATAGACTCGAATAAACTCATCTGTATTGCATCATCAGTCAAAGGTTTATCTAAATTATTCGGGTCGCGTTCTGTATTTGCTGCGATTAACAAATTCATTATATCCGGTTTTAATGGTTCCTCGATCGGCGTATTTTCTACTTCTTTTCTTCGTTCCTGAACGAGTTCACACAGTACTCTCCTTAATTGATCGTGGGCTTTAAGATGCTCCTTGTTTTGCTTCCAATAAATTGTATGTCTCAGCAACGAGTGTGTGGTAAGCAAGAAAAATATCGCTGCAAATGCATTTTCAAATCCCTTGACAATTTTCTCAGTCATACACGAATCTTTAGTTTCAATATCGATTTTCTTTCCAGTAGAAAGAGTATTGAAGTATTTAGCCATGAAATGAAACTTTTTTCCAGTTGTATTAAAAAAAATAATGTCCGACGCAAACCGAACGGCCCAAGCATTCAAGTCCAAAACACAATCTGAACCCAATTCCTTCCAATAATGTTGCAATTCCTTGAAAAATTCTTGCATCATTTCAATTGTTCCATGAAGATACGAAGGATTCGTCACCGCATAATCAAAATACTTTCGA